AATTAGGTTGTTGTATTAAATTAGGTTGTTGCATCAAATTGAATTGTTGCATTGGATTAGGTTGTTGTATCAAATCAGATTGCTGTATTAAATTAGGTTGTTGCATTGAATTAGGTTGTTGCATTGAATTAAATTGTTGCATCAAATCAGATTGTTGTATTGAATTGGAATTGAATTGTTGCATTAAGATTAAGTCAGATTGTTGAATTTGTGTAGAACTAGATTGCAGTCGTGAAGATGTTTTTGTTTTTGTTAAATGTTTATATGTGAATAAAGGATGTGTGGGTGGTTCTGTTGGTGATGCCATTGCTTTATTCTAAATAGTATAATTAAAATTAATTATAATATACATAAGCTATATATAAATTATAAAATTTGTATATAATTTATACTTACAATTTCAGATGCCCAAATTGAAAGCATCATGAAAGTAATTTCAATATGATTTTCTTTAGCTCCATTTTTATTTAAGCATGGTTGATTATGAATTATACAATGGTTTTCTTTGCGAATTTCTAAAACATTTTTTGCAATTGATAATTCAAGCGATGATAGATTTGAAGTTTTAGGAATAGAATTTTTGTTTCTTGAATCTGAAACAATATCATTATCTGAATTATTATCGGGCTCAAGTTCCTAAATAAATATTTAAAGTTGTTTTATTATAAAGATAATATAAAAAATTCTTAATATACTATACTTACATCTATTTTTCGCTTTAGATTTGATTTAATAAATGTTATAAAAAAAGCCATATTGATGTTTTTAGATTTGTATTTTTGATAATTGGCTTGAAATTTTTTAAAGTCTTGAATATCAACTAGTTGGGTACTCACTCCAGCTGCTTTTTCAGATTTGAATGCAATATGATAGTCATTTGGATCAACTAGTTTATTCCCCATTAAAGTTTCAATATTTATATGAATTTCAGAAAGTAGCTCATCAACCGTAGATACTTTGGCAATATATCATTTTGCTGGAAGAAATGTTCCATTTTCAGATTTAATAAAAACACTATAATTATATTCGTATTCAACTTCTTTACTAGATAAAGACTCATTATTATTAAAATTATATTCTTTTTTATAATATCCTTTTTCATTAAAATTCAAATCAAGTTTTTCTTCAGATTCGGAAGCATCACTTGCTAGAGTAGTAAAATCACATGTTTCTATTTCATAGTTATCATCATTTACAAGGGTTAAACTTTTTGTATTAAGCTTTTTTGCTTTCGTAGATAATCTTAATAAAACACTATTGCATCAAAAGCATAAAGTAAAATTAAAAGCCTCTTTAATACTTAATAAATAATTATAGTGTTCTATTTTTTGATGAATAAATTCTACTTTTTCTTTACTTCAATTTGGATCAAATACTCGTGTAAATACATATTTGACAGCACCTGTCCGATTATTTTTATGTGGCACTTCAGATAAGTTGCAATCACATTTTTCTTGTTGCAAATCAATTTCACAATACATGCATTTTTGGCAACTTAAACAAGTTCCTCGACGATATTTTAATTTTGTTTCTTGAAAATCAGCCATTTTTCAAAAGAAATATAATAAAGAATTATGAAAAGGAAAACAATATAATAATATTTATATAATACATAAATAGCTTTTTATATTGATCACTATTAATTACTGATCAAATAATTATATAATTATTATGGATTTTTAATGATTTTTAAATTCAGATTCCCTATTTAGAATCTCAAAGATTCTCCGCATCATCATCATGAAAATTATGGGGTCACACCTTTTTGCAAACCGCCATAATTAAACACACAGTACATTTTTTTTATTTTAATTCTAATCTTTTGTAAAATTAAAATAAAAAAAAACTTTTATTGAAATTTGATAAATAGTTGTTGAGAAATATAAATTTTACAAAAAAATCAATAAATTTTCTTTTTTTTTAACTTAAACTAAGATTTCTCACCACCATTGATTCAAAATTTTTTATTTAATTCTTAAGTTTATAGAAATAAAGTAAAATAAAAAATTATCGAAATTGTGTACATTTTGAAACTGTGATATTTATAATTATCAAAAAAATTACTCGATTGTTAGATAAAGCATGTCTGCTTTAACTATCTTACAATAAAAATACCTTAGCTGTCACACCAATTTTACCACAGCAAATTCTCAATTTTAATTAGCTAACTGCCATGGTCTACAAAATTTTTGGCTTGCATTATACAATTGTTATATAATTTTTTGGCTGGAATTAGGTTTTAACTTTTTTATTACAAAAATAGAACTTTTTAGGAAAATAAGCCTATACTATAGTAAAATTAGTCTAGAAACATTTTCACTTAATAGGCAGTTGTGATTTCATTAGTAAAATTTTGAGTAATTTCAGCATAGATTTTAATTATCACTCTTAGCTTCTCAAAATCGTGAATTGGCTGTGACATGACAGCTAGAGTATTTCTTGCAATAATTCTATATAATTTGTATACTTCATACTGAATTGAGTAATAATTATGATTTATTAGTCAAGAAATAAAAAATTTGGGAATGGCTAGCCAGTCAGCTAAGCTACTATAGTCGACTACATTAACTACGGCTATAGCTGCCTAGATGTGACCCTGGAACTTCTTCATAAAATCAATTAGTGTTCCATCAATCGGAGTTTCTCTCTTGCCAGAAATAATATCTAATGCTATTTTTGCACCCAATTCATTCTTAAAGGAGGGAAAGCACTTGATAATTCCCATAAAAGCATACTGAGGCTATAAATATCTGAAAGTTTTTCTCCTCTAAATTTAAATGGACTTTCGAGGTATTGAGGATCGGAAAAAGCACACATTCCACTAATAATTGATTTTGGGCTAGTTTCTAATAATTTTTATAAACTAAAATCTGTGATCATCAATTTGTGATTATTCACTACTATATTCTTATCCCTTAAACCGTCAGTTTTAGCAGCCAAATATGGCTACTAAAAAAAAAATCTCATAAAAAAGATTTTTTATATAAGTATTTAATTGAAGTAAGTAACAGTGATCTTCAGAACCTAAAGTCACATGGGCATATTTTAAAACTGCAGTGTAATATATAATATGAGGCCAAAAAAAAAATACAAACTTAGGGCAAATTGAATATTTTACACTGCAGCAAAGAAATTTTTTATATAATTTGGATTTTCGAGCCATCTAGGCTAACCAGACCCCGATTATGTAGTACGTTTTGTAGCTTATCATGTGCCAAACTTGGTATTTGTTTATTGCATCAAGTTAATACTAGCCATATATTCATTGATCAACCATATTTTAGCGTGATCAGATTTTGATCTTCGCTAAAATATGTTCAATCATCAATTGTATTTCTGTACTTGATAATAAACTCATTCACGTAGACAAGCCACACAAAAAATTTAAGTAATTTGTATAAAAGCAACCTTTCTTTTATTTAAAACATTTATTTAAAAGATTCATTTAAAAAATTTATTTAAAATTGTATGTTGTATTTAACCTTGTATTATTTGTGAGTATGAAAAGGTAGGAAACAGTTTCGGTTGTTATTACAGCAAAGAGGCACTTCACATGCTATACACCAATAACTACTTTTATGTGGACTTTTGCGATTCATAACTATTTCATTTTCATGTGCCAGCCAAGTGCACCATCGGCATGCTTCTCACTCATCTCTCCACTCCACAAAGTGGTTTCCAGATACTAGACGCTGGTCTGAGAGCTTAAAATTTTTTGTCATTTTCAGTCTTTTTATTTCTTTTTTGGCATCTTCTAACTTTTTTTAGCCTATTTCTAAGTTGAACTTCACCAGTGTTATTTGCAAAGTTAATTAGATCCCATACAAGCCTGAAATGGAAATCTTTATGCTCTTGTGTTGAACCTAAAGTTCGAACAATTCGATACACATTAACTATCGAAATATCTAGCAGCCAAAAAAAAAGTGGCATCCAATTTCTCCGTGTTACTTGCTACATACTGTAGTATGACTATAGCTGATCTGCAACGTTCACCCTATTCATATAATTATTGAAGTCATTTATTATTTTTGGGATTTTTAAATTTTTTTTTGATTCTGACCCAAACACAGCACGCACTTTTACTGCATTTGTGCTTGTTTCTCTTGGTTGCCGCCTAATTTGTTCTATCTCTCATTTGTCATCAACTAACTTATAGATTGTTGACAACATAGTAACAGGCCCATTATCTTGCCAAAAAACAGCCAATACATTATTTACTACAACACCAGAGCGAATATCCCACTCAAGTTTGACACTTTTATCTACTTTTAATTCTTTTGGAAAACCTGAGGAAGTTTTCTGAACAGTCCTGCAAGCACCAATGCCGATTTGCTGAAGATATTAAAAAAGAGAAACATTATTAAAATAGTTGTCCAGGTAAATGTTAAAAGAAAATCGATGGTAAGGAAGTTGCTTAACAAGATAATAGACCTGATATTAAATTTGATTGAGGTTACTCACTTTTGTCACTTCACATGGGGAAACGCATGATGTTGGCAGAAAGGTGTAGATGTACCTGAATTCACAAAGAGAAAATATTTTGAAGCCTTCGGGAGTTGGTTTGTTTTTAATTCGAAAAGTATGATTGCTTCTTCCAAAGAATCAAATAATCATCTCATCAACTGAAACATTTAAATTTGGTACATAAAGCTGCTTCGAAAACGTCTTGGACATGTGAGAGCAATGACTCTAATTTATCGAAGTAATTTTTAATTGTTTCACCAGGGGGAGAAACATGTAGAAACCTCTTAATTACTTTGAAGCATTTTGTTTTAAAATCTGGTGAATAGAGTATTTTCCATCTTTATTTCAGTATTGGTCGAGTGATGGTAACTTAAAAAGCCCTTGGTAAATGACCAAGGCAATCCATATGATAAGTTCTTTGCGACTTAAGTCTAGCTACTGCCTACTAGTAATGCCAGCTTCTTTTACTAATGCGTAAAGATTTGTACTTTCACCGATCATATCCAATATGGTTAGTTTAAAAAAAAAAAAAAAAAATCGATTAGTTTGGAGGTAGCGATATCAAGATGTGGTGGAAGATGAACAAAAGTCTGGTGTAATGAGGGATAAGCAAAAGGATTAAAATTGGTAGATGGTGGTAGCAATTTTGGCACTACAGTTGCTTTTGATTTATTTATTTTTTTTGCTGCACTTCTTGTATCTACTTCTAATGCTTTATCTTCGTCCTTATCTTCATCATCTGATTCTAGATTGTTCAAAAGATGCTGACGAAATGTTAAGGTTGGTGCATATTCATCATTGTTAGTGTATATATCTGAAGCTCCAAGAGAAGATAAGGAAGACATAACAATTTTTATTTTTATTTTTTTTTTGAGAAAAAATTTACAAGGATTGTCTAGAGAATTGTCTAGAGAATTGTATGAGGATTTTCTAAAGGACTGCTAGCTAGATCACATGAGGATTTTCTAAAGGACTGCTAGCTAGATCACAGGTATAGTATTTTAATATAGTACTTTAACAATAGGTGAGACAATGTTTATTGTGAGAATTTCTTTGTACTTGAAAAAGAATTTGTATCAATGTGACCAAAAGAATACATTGCATAACATAAATAAGAATTCGATTTAATTTGGGTATAATAAAAAGCAGGTAACTTAAATTCATTTTTATTTGTTTGTTTATGTTCATATGACTGACACCAATAAAAAAAAAACTTGAATTTGTTTGTTCAAAATGTGAGGCATCATGAAATAAAACCAGAGAATACTAAAGTTGTGTATTCACGTGATATAAAATATTCATTAAAATTATTTAAATTTAAATTTAATGTTAGTTAAGGCTAGAAATAAGTAAATATTATGCATAAAACAACCTTCTTGTTATTTTTTGTTAATAACTTAAAGTAGGTTATGACTGCATTTTTCATATTATTCGGTTTTTTTATTTTTTTCCTTTGTCAGGTTGATCTAAATCTGCAACATTAATTTATTAATTTATATAAATAGACATGGTCACACAAAACACTAAGCTCACGTGTGATTAACAATACATTAAGCTTTAATTTGAGCTTAGTAAAAGGGGGTGTGTTTTATAAAAATCTGGAGCAATTATACAAAAATGTGCCAAAAATCATTTTAGCAGCCAAATATGGCTGCTAGACAGTTTAAGGGATAATGCTAAAAATATAATATCAGTATATAATATATTTAATAAAAAAACAAAATTAATTAGCATATGTAGAAATGCTGAAAAATGTTTAGCATTTTTACTATAAGATTTATATGTCCTAAAATTAAGGATTGACCGATCAAAATTTATTATTGACTCATATTATAATCATCTAACAATATTTGTTTCCTTTTAATATTTATCCAATGATGTAAAAGGTCTATATTTTCTTTTTAACTAGTCATAATTTTTATAACCGATCAATTTGATATTGATCAATTAACTGGTCAACGGTTAAGTAATTCTAAAAAGTTCCAGCTACTTACAAGATCACAATGAACAATATTTATATTATGCAAATATTCAATCCCCTTTGAAATTTCTTTGGCCATTTTAATTTTAGTTGGCCAATCCAATTCCAAAAAATGACTTCATAAATAACTTTGGAGATCACCATTATTTGCATGTTGAAGTACCATAAAATAGGTTTTATCAGGATCTAAGATTTAAATATCATCTATTAGATATTAATAATGTAAATTATCATATCACATAAATTTGCATATCTCCAGTAATTCCAAAGAATTGTATTATATTATTATTATGATCGACTTTAGTAATAATTTCTATCTGTTAAGTTAATAAATGATAAGCAATATTTGTATATAATATCTTATTAAATAACTAGCAAGAAACATCATAAAATTGATTTTACTTGTCTAGTAAATTTATATACATTAACATTAATAATGCTACTACGATGTAATCTCTTTAAAGCAATAGTTTGATTAATATTTTTAGAAAAAGCACTGTATACACTGCCAAATCTTCCTTTTCTAATTAATTTCATATTCCCAAAAGATCCATACTCGAATGATTTAATATATTTATTTTTGATTGCATTGTTAAGCTGGTCAGACATACTTTGTTCTGCTATGGGTTTAAATACTGGTTTCCTTTATGAAGCTTGATTGTATATCAACACTAAATTTTAAAATATATATTAATACGCAACAGGGAATAGCAAATTTCGCAATAATTTTAAAAACATTATATAAGTGCACTCTTGCATGCAAAAATTTGAGATGAATTAATATGGAAAATTTTATATATAGTTGTTGATTTTGTACTACATGCCAGGAACGTAGTAAAACAATGTACAGTCTTTTGAAAATTAATGGGACCTGGAATTCGGACTAAATTACTTATTTAATAAGATATTGCTTTCATGATTAGCGTTGTAAATTGGAATGCTGAAGTGATTCAATTAAAATTTAATCGGAATATGAAATTGGATCAAATTCAAATGGGTTCTCAACTCCAATTAAAAAAAATTGGTTAATTAAATTATGATACAAGTCACTCTTGAAAGAATTATTTATAAGTTGGTTTTTTTTCATGATTAAGAGGTCAGAGTTTTATTTAATTATGTACATTATTTAAACTACAAAACTTTAACAATTTACAATCTTGGTATAATGAATATTTGCTGTATCAACAAAATTTCAGTAATGCAGTATGTAGGTATGTAAAATGCGAATTAGAACTCACATAATGATAAGCCAGAAAAACTACTCAGAATGCTTAAAATAATTAGTAAATGCGGGTAACTTTTTTTTAAAATGAGCAATTATTTAAGAGTCGACACAATTATAGCATCAAGCATTTGGAGTATAAGAATAAATTCATTGTTTAAAATAATTTGTCGACACTTATGTAGTATACAAATATTGCAAATATAATAAAAAATGAAGCAAATTAGTATATCGCTATTTGAAAATAAATACGTCACCTATTTCTTTTAAATCAAATTCCTGCATTTTTGCAGTAATTCCATGATTAGAAAAACACTTCAAGTTGGTTAAATCAATTATTATTGATGACGTTAATCTTGTCGGATCTTGAGTAGTTAGAACTAAAACTATTCTGATAAGATCTTTAAACAGATTGGATTAAAAGTTACAATAACGAAGTTAATACTTTAGAATTGAAGCAGAGCTATTATTGGTAAAGTCAATGTTTTAAATTGAGTTAAAATTAGGATTATTACTGATAAAGATCGGTTTGTATTTAATAAGTTGTATTTAAATTACAATGAAATTGGCTTTTTTTTAATTCGGTTGGGTTAAATTAAAAGACGATTGCAAATTGTAAAATATAATTTATACATATTTTTAAATACTATTAATCTTCAATTACATGAATTATTTCAATCAATCATTACGATTCGAATTATTGGCAAGTCACATAAAAAATCGTCTGAAATACTTAAAATTTTGAACTTAAATTACCGAAAACACATTTTTAAGCTTTGTCAGAAAGAACTATTTCGAAGCAAGATAATTTGAAAACCTTAAAATTAATAAGTAATCTACCTCTTATAAACTAGTTTGCCTTGATTTTTTTGGTACTCTCATAATGCACAACCCTTTACAGATGAATCTTCTGCTTCACTGCATCTATTCAACCACTCTTTATATTAAACTTGGGTTTCAACTTTTGTCAGAAGGGTTTGAGGGTTTTAGCTTTTATCAGAAGAATTTGAGATTTTGACTTTCAACAGAGGTTTTGTCATTTAGAGTTCTGGTTTCGACTTTCATCATCAAGCAAAAATGGGTTCGTCTAACAATTTAATTTGTTGTTCATTTGTAAGATTGATGGATTTGCATTTAAGAAAAGGAAATGCAGATAAGTCGATCTTAAAGAAGCTGCATACTGTTTTAAAGGTCCATTGGGAGAATGATTTGCTCATTTAGTTACAGGTTCTTTATTTTCTTTATTAGCCAAATTCGTTTGCATTAAGGCTATAATAATAGTTTAATTTAATATTGGAAAATTTGCAAAATTTTAAGCATATATAGTGACCAGGAAAATATTCTTTGAACATAATAAAAAAATTCTTACACATTCACATTTTTCAAGAATATCCTGCCAATATGTCTCAAATTCATCTTCAACATACTCAGATTCAACCTAATATATGAAAATAATAATTATTATTATTAACTGAGTTATAAGCATATAAGCATTAAAATGTACATTTTTAAAAAAATAAAATTTTTAAAATAATGCCTATGTGCACCTATATGGAAATATAATATCTTTATAAAAATAGAAAAAAAACTTACTTTTGCTTTAAGTGTTTTATAAGAATTTTTAGCTAATAACTTTCTAGCAGCTTTTGTAAAGACATGTGTCTAATAATCACTAAGGTCTTCCTAGTTATCATAATTAAGAGATAAATTCTTAATTTCAGTTTTGCAAAGGTCGAGAAATCTTTGAAAGGAATGTTTTTTATGTTTTTGTAAAAATGAGGTAACAAGGTCTAAAAAAAAAAAAATTAGTAAGTTTTTTATATTTTATTAAACAATACTTTATAATTTACCAGATGCATCTATAATTATAAAAATAAAAGAGAAAGAGTGTAGGAGACTAGGTGTTGAGAGAAGGAGTGTAGGAGAGTGTGTGTAAAGAGAGATTGTGTGTAAAAAATAAAGTGTAAAAGAGAGAATAAATGTAAAAGAGAGTGTGTGTAAGAGTGATAGAAAAGTGTATAAATGAAGAAAAGATTTACAAAATTTTTATCAAATTTATACTGCTAAACGTATTGTTTACCTAAAAAGATAGCCAATCAGAGAATATGTGATATGCATGTGATGTCGCTTAATTGGATTATAGCGAAGACTTATTAAACTCAGTAAAATTTTTTTAAATATATAATTAAAAAAAAAAAAATTCTTTTTATTTTAATTCTAAAGATTATAGAATTAAAATAAATAATTCTGCAAATCATCAACGAAAAATGCTCAATTGTTAGTTAAAGCATGCTTGTCTTTAATTATGTTACAATAAACCACCTTAACTGTCGCACCAATTTAGATTCACAATTTTAATTAATGGTCTACAAAATTTCGACCCGCATTATACAATTGTTACATAATTTTGGCCGGAATTAAGTTTCTAACTTTTTATAAATTTTTAGAGAAATAGGTTTCCACTATGGTAAAATTAGTCCAGAAACATTTTTCACTTAATGGGCAGATGTGATTTCATTGGTAAAATTTTGAGCAATTTCAGCCTAAATTTTTAATCGTTGCTCTTAGCCAATCAAAATTGAGAATCTGCTGTGAAGGGTATTTCTCGCAATAATTATGTGATTTGTATACTTTATGCTGAATTAAAGCAATAATTATAATTTATCAGCCAGGAAATAAAAAATTTGGTATCAGCTAGCCGGTTAGCTAAGATGATCTAGTCGGTTATCATTAACTACGACTATAGCCAGTCAGCTAGCCAGCTATGGCCTAACCGTTCCAATCCCTAAATAAAATAGATTCCTTATATTTATGCGCACTTGTAAGCCGACATTGGTATAAACTATCAATTCCTATCCTTTGGCAGGATCCATTTTCATTCGAAAATAATCCTTTATTCATTTCTAAATATTTTTCATCTCTTGGCGAAGACAAAAAACTCGGTTTAAAAGAATATTTTAAAGAATGTAAGGTAAATGCAGAATTTTCAAAACCACTATTTGATTGTGCAAAATTTTAAAAGTTCTTGATCTACCTCGCTTAGAAAGTTAGGTTAAAAAATGGCTTGGTTTCTAGGTTATTAATTTAATATCAAAAAATTATTTAGATTACTACTTATTAGTACATCACATAATTAAATTATTGTTTATATTATTTGTTTAGAGTGGGGCAACTTTACACAAATTAAATTTAGATTCTCCCGTTTATCCTGATTACAGGATTAATCCAGAGATCTTCTACCCATTAGAACAAAATGAGCAATTTTTCTCAAAACTCCAAGATTTATCTTTAAATATAACACCTGATTTCAGTATTGAAAATGCCACTGCACTATTAAAAACCTTGGCAAAAAATACTACAAAAATTAAAGCTTTGAAACTTGGATTTGATTCTTATTATGAGCCAAAATTATTTCATGCTTTAATATGTATTATTAAATCACAGGAACAACTTAGGCAATTTAGTATAGTTGGAATAAGACACTCTGTATATCCTATAGATTTCAATGGTATTATTTCAGCTTTAGAATATCAAAAAACTTCATTACAAGAAATTACAATAGAAAATTATGATTATAGTGCAGGGTTCGAGATACTAAAAAATTGTAAAAATTTGGAAACATTTCGTATTAGGAATTGCGATACTAAACTGTTGAATATATTAAATTGTAAAATCACCGCTTTGGAGATAGCTAATTTCAAGATTTATGTACCAACTATAATACATATTTTAGAAATGTCTAACCCATTACTACAATGATTAAAAATTGCATCAGATAAAGTAATTTATGAAGAATCTTTATTGCTAAATGCACTTAAATCCTTCTGCCCAAATATCACATATTTAAGCATTTGGAATATTAGGTTTTCCACACAATTAATGGAGCTTATTGATAATTTACAAAATCTTCAATTTCTCATGTTAGACTGCATTCCTACCGAGATAACTATAGAAAAACTAAAAATACAATTTATGCAGTTTGCAGAAATATTGCTAGCCAATAACATTGCAATATCTTGACTTAAGAAATTCTTAGATGAAATCATATGTTGATATTTTGCTCAATCATTGCAATGCACCTTTATAAAAACTGTTAATTTGTTCTCTTTATGGCGAGAAAATTGCCAAAGCAATAATCAAATTCTGCATACGATATAAAACTTTGAATTACATGGGTGTATTTGATAAATTAGACTTGGATAATGATATTAAAAATGAAGTAGAAACATATATTAAATTAGTACCACGTAACAATATTGTTGTTAATTGTTAAATGTAGTCAACCTATAAAACTATAAGTATTTATGCAAAAAAAAAGCTTGCAGATATATATCAGTCACATGATTTGTCACGCAGATCACAGGGGTAAATTTTTTACTATGAAATTTGAGTGATTGACATCCATATGATTGATCCATTTTTCATAGTAAATTGTAACGGTAGGCCCTCTTCAAATGGCTTTTTCAGGGGTTTCCTAAAAGGAAACCACAATCACAAGATAATGAATAGTGCTTTAGTTAGATACACACTTTCTTATTTTTAAGTCTAAAGTAAGATAAGTTCCAAAGCTGAGAAAGATCACGCCCTTAAAGTTGGTCTTTTGTTTTACTTTACATATACTTTTTATCTTGCTTTGAAAGCTTTTTTTTTAAGTATAATAATAAACTTACTAAGTTATTTAACATTATAAACTATTTAGAGTTATTACCAATGAAGATTTATTGAAATTCAGGCAGAGTTATAACCGACCAAGTAAATTAGATCAGAATTGAAGGAATTAAAGTAATGCTTACTACTATGGTACTACTACAGTACTAATATAGTTTTTAAAATTTTAGATGAAACTATTGACGAAAACCTTAATGTAGATGAAAAAACTTTAGCAATAGATTATTTAAGAATTATATGAAGTCAAATTTTTGAACATGTTAGGTTGGATTAAACTACTATCAATATGAGATTAAAGCTATAGAGTTAACTTAGGGAGAGTTAATTGTATTGAATATTTTTTTTTAAAAAAATTTTTATTAAAAATTAAATTATACAGTATGATCTTTATTTATATTTCCTGCCAAAATTCTTTTAATAAATATCAAAATTTTAATTTATTCATCAAAGCTAATAACTAATAAGTAATCTCTTAGTAAAAAAATATGAAAATATATCTTTTTGTAGTTACTTTGACTAAAATTTATATTCTTGCCACGAATCCAGTAAAATTAATCATAATAGTAGACTAGCGAGCCACGTTGAGGCAAACTCCCTAACACCAATGCTAAATAAATACTAATAATTAATAAATAATTTTTGAAATAAATAAATAAATAACCTTTATACTTATCATTATATTGATACAGATAAATAAACATAAATAAGATAATAAGTATTAGCAACCTTTAAATAGCATAAAAAAATTTTTCCCAAATAAAAAATAAAACAAAAACGTCAATTTATTAAGTGATCTACGTACTGAAAAACAGTTTTTCTTGATTTTCTTCATTACATTTATAATGTACTAGCCCTTCGCACATGCATTTTGGCGAAAGCTCTACCTCCGATGCACCTAATAGAATGTTTTTTTTAGCAAAAAAGTTGTTAGCCTGAGAAAGATCAAACGAAAGTAGTCAAAATAATTGCACATATTCAAGGAAGTGGTAATTTATAAGGAAAAGGTCATTTTTTACATTTCTCATACCATTTGATTTGTAAAAACCTCAGCAACAGTTTTGTCTTAAGAAACAGTACGTGTTGGGCAAAATTTTTAAAAATGCAATTTCGTCAGTTTGTGTAATTTGTGAAGATCATATGATAAAATTTTAGATGTGACAAATCGTGTGACTGATATAATATCTTTTTGTAATTTCATGTATATTATAAACATATTTGCTAATAATTTGTCCATTAACTTAAATAAAAACTAAAAAATCGTACTTTTATTTAGCTACCTTTTTCACATGTTTGTTTGTCTTGATTTATGTTCACTTTCGCTTTAATATTAGTTAGCAGACGTTTGTAATTAGCATGCCTCTTTTCTTATTCACTTTTTTGATAAGCTAACTGATGGTTTTCAGTTTTGAACTTTTCAGTTTCTTCTCACTTCATTTCTTATGGCTACTTGTTCGAGTGTGTAAGTCTTTCTGCTTTTGCATGTTGATAAATTAAAGAGACCATTGTCGCGGGTTAATCTGTGACTTTCGTCACAAACAACCTAATCCAAACGGCGAGCACTTAATCGCTTTGCTATGACCGATTTTCAGTTTATATTAAGGCAAGTACTTTTATTTATTACTCAAAACACACTTTATTAATTAAGAGCGAGACTAATACTAATACTAATTCCAACTAGCTAACTATTACATTCGCTTTTCCCATATATACATACTTGTCACATTACTTACATCATAATTCGTTCATATACGATCGTTTGACTCTTATATTACTAATAAATTATCTCATATTTAATGCATACTGGTTACCTTACTTCGATTGCATAATTGATCGTTACTCGATCCCTTAATCCCCGATCGATCACTTGTCACGTGCACAAGGTAACGATTGATCGTTCGCTTTACCTTTATTCCCATACATGTTTACTACATACTGTATATCACCATGACACCATGTTAAAATTTCTTTTACTTATCAAATAAGTTGCTTATTAATGATAAATATTATTTTTTAAATATGCTTGTGTACAATACGATGAAATATGATGATATTTATACAGGTAATTATTTTCTAACTTTGGACTAATGCAAATACAGTATTGGAAGAAACCAATAAGGGTGACTAAAATACATCTAATGCGCCGCAATTAAAGAATAAATTATTATTTTCGCAATGATTACATATTGATTAA